ATGTGGGACGACATTTTGAATATTTGATCGGCAGTAGATATTGGCAGGTTCCTGTTATCACCAAGAAATGCTCCCACACAGATTCCTGAAATTCCTTGTCCACTAAAGCCTTTGCACTGAAGAATGTGTATTGTAGCTATGTCTTCCAAACCGGCGTTATCTTTCCTGTAATCTTTCCAGACTTTATAGTACCCACGCTGCGACGTTTTGTGAGCTAAGACACTTCTTTTATAGACGGCTGTTCAATTGTATATAATTGTCTCTGTCTTCTTATATGTGTCTTGCTCAAGGGCGAATTGTGAAGTTGAAGCAAAGCCATTACTGGGTGTTCCAGCCTACCCGTGGGCGCACCACTGCGATATCTTTGATATGTCCCAAATTAGCCAAAAGTCAGCGTACCAAAGTTTCTAGCTCCTTAATTTTTCGTGGTGCCAAGTGGCTTCAGATGCTACCTACAGAGATCCAAAAGGCTCCAAATGTCAGCACGTTCAAAAGGAGTTTGAGGAAAGTAGATCTTTTGGCACTTCTTGAAATCCAGGACTTCTAAGATGATTAAGATATTTCAGAGAATCGGTATTAGTTCCGTCGTTTCTTTTTCACCCTCAAATGTTAGTCGACGCACAGTGAAAGAAGACAGTGATATAACAGTTTTGACATATTGTTTTTTTTTGATTTTTTTTCCTGTTTCGTTCTTAGTTTTTTTTTCTCACACTTACTAATGTCACTGCAACCTATAATGCATTTTGATTACAAGACCTTAACAGTTTGGAAAAAAAACTTTTTGTTGGATGATTGCAAGTTGCTACTGAAATTGCTCTTACAAACTATTCGAGATAGGTGTAACTTTCTATGCGTTCTAGAGCGAAATTTTTATGCAGGCGGGTCCGAAACTGAATTGTTAGGGCTAGGGAATACCTAACATCCGAAAATTCAGTTTCGGATTCTGTACATATATGCCATAGTCGTCAAGGAGTGGCGTTATCCCTAGCGCCATCCGCCTACCCAGATTCCTACAAAGGTGATTTTGAATACAATCTAAAAGCAACTTGGACAATGGAACAAAACTTTGTTTTTTTTCTCTGTTCATTTGTAGTTTTTTTTCCATTCGCGTTAAGGTCCATCGAACTTTTTAATTCTGTATAAGCTGTACTGTGTTGTATTCGGTATAGCGCACCTACGCGTGCATCCAAAATAAATAAATAAATAAAATAAATCATTTTCAGTGCATGTTTACTTTACCCTACACACATATATTAAATGTAGGCCCTTTATCAGGACAATCCCAGTTGGGAAGACAGAGAAAATTTAAAGGAATTTTCGTCCCCAACCCTTCGGGGAAGCATACCTTACGGCCCCTGGGACACTGCCCTGTCCGTTATGTGGCCCTGAGAATTGGCGGACCTACTACTTTGGTATTTGGAGTCAGCCGCTTGCAGTGTTGGCCGACCATTGCCCTTCTCATCCTTGCTGGACCATTATTTTCCCCTTACCGAAGACGTTACAACCTTGAGGCCGCTTATCGAATATTGATTCTTTTTCCGCCAATTTCTGCTGTAGTCGTAAGTTTTGTAACTTCGCTTTCATTCCTATTTGATTCGGCGTCTGTCGCTGCAATAGCTGCAAATAAATGAATAAATTTCTAAAAAATATTGCCTAGGACAAGTGTACCCTCCGTCCTTACGAGTCGGTTTTTTGGTCCAGACCCCTCTGGAGAATAAAAATACAGCTCAGTACATTGCCTAAAATGGCACTTTAACTGCTCATTGAAGTAGAGTGCGTGGTGCGCCCCAAAAAAATATGATCCACACCGAAAGTTTATCTTTCATTCTTTAAACCGATAAGTTACCTCTTACATGCATTTCGCTCGAGGCTGCTGGCCATTATTCAATCAACCCGTTTCGCCGCACAGTACCGAGGCATAGTTCTTCTGCAATCCACCGCAATCATAGAGAAGGGATGCGCTAGTGGTAGATCACGGCAAGCCCTGAGCGGAGCAAGGAATGCACCAAACATGCTGAACACAGTTTGATAAATCGAAAGAAACCCCTGAAAGGTAATGGGAGTACTCTCAAACTCTTGGTTTTGAATAGGTTTACTGTTGTGACGAAAGGAACTCGAAGATATCACATGCCTGGCCTGGAACTTTTACGAAGATGTTGGTATGAAGATGTTGGTAGATGTGAGTAACTTAGTCACACTGATTGACAATCCCTTACCACAGAAGTGTATTAACCCTTTGACGACAATGCGGATTTGCACGTAGCTTGCTCATGGGACCACGCCTCTTTTTGGCGCGCCCAACTCTCGCTCACAATTGGGCAAAATTGTCCCTCAAAGCAGTTTTTCTATAGAATTTTTGACTTTAGTATACCAGATATAACTGCAGTTCTAGGCTTTCATACTGTATATTGTTTTCAAGAGAATTCCAAATTTGGAAGGGAACTCGGGTTTCAAAGGGAAGGAGGGCAAAACCTCTGGAAGTTTATGTGTCCAAGAGAATTTTCGATACACTTAATATGCTGGCGAGCAATAAACATTTCTGTAAGCCGTGCTAGTCATAGATATTATGGAACTTGCTTATAATTATTGGGGTGTTACAAATGTTTTAAATGCACAAAGAAGGAAATTTTAAGGTGGCACCCACCATTGGGTGCCATTGTCCCACGCGGCGAACATAGTGGCACCCACCGGTGGGTGCCATTGTCGTCAAAGGGTTAAAACAATGAGACAGTGAGACGCGGTTGCGTGTCTCACCCTTGTCATCCCTTTTTCTAGCGCATGCGCGGCTTCTTCCCAAGTTGTGTGTATTATTGTGTATGTGTGTATTATCACTATCATGAATATCACACATTAACCTAATTACAAACGCCGTGGTCCGTAATATGGTTAAAAAGGCCTAAAAACTGCTGAAACTGCTTGTTTTGGGCGCTTTGGGAGTTGAGGGGGGTGGGGCTAGAATCAGCGACGCTGCGAGCAGCTGAATGCTCCCTTCGAGAAAGACAGTATAAACGGTCACATTCTAGTGTTCACGCATGTTATTTGCAAGCTCCCGGATAGGAGTTGAAGGGCGCTTCACTAATAAAGCTGGAGATGGAATGGTGTGGATTAGGAAAAGGAAGGAGAGAAACCCTCAAATACGCCTCGAATAAGGACCTCCATTTCAGCCGCATTCCACCTTGGGATAGAGAAGGGGCGTGTTGGACGAGTTTCACGAACCTAGCTCCAGTTGCTCCAGTGCCAATGACATTGAACCGCAACAACCGCTGCCGCAATTGCGCCCGCGCTTTCAAGCAGCGTCACGTGGCAACCAACAGCGTAAGGCATTGTTCATAGTTTGCGCCACGAGAGGAGGACGCTCGAACCGAACGAATCTGCGCAAATGCGAAATGAATGAAGTGCGTATCGATCCACAAAATGGGAGGAGCTTCGAATCGCGCATTGGAATCTGCGAATCCTCTTGAAAGGAATGAGTGTCTATCGATCAGTCAATCGGAGATCGCAGCATCGAAACGGCGGTGCGAAAATCCTCTAGCAACGCTAATAGGGCGTGGTTTACTACGTCGATACGTATCTAAACCTTTTCGCATCCGCGTTCGCGCGTGTGGAAATTCTCCTGGTCGATACGTATCTTTTTCTTTTCGCAGATTCGAATATTCCGATGGTTCCAAAACTATGAACAATGCCTAAGGCTGCTTTCGTAGACTGCGCCGTGGCGGACGACGCCCACACGGATGCGGACCGCACGGACGGCGCAGACTATGGAAGCAGCCTAAGGCGGGGCTTGCGGGCGGAGGAGTGGACTGCGGATCGAGCTTCTAGCGCCTTTGTGGAGCATTTTCAAGCCGCAAAGGGGGCGCGAGATCAACGCTTGTCCGCTTGTCTACTACGGGTATGGAACAGGTGAGCTTGCCTAATCTCAAAGCGTGTCCTTTAAATGGATTTGCCTACTATTTGCCTCCACTGCCCTGATCAGACTACACTCTTGGATTACGACTCCGCTTTGCGCTAATGTTATACAAGATTATAAGTTCAGGAACATAGGGTGTATACCGTAACCTTCTCGACGTTGCACTGGGGCGCGCATTCTCACGTGTCATCGATTTTCTCGTCTTCTCTGCACCCTCTCAACGAAGAGAGAATGCGTCGAGCAGGCCCGCGCAGAGTACTAAGCGCCGTTTATGTAGAAGGTGGAGGACACAACGCACTCGGCTGTCGCCACACGTCGGATGCAAGCGGCGAGGCGAACGCTGCGGTGGTGCTTCGTCGCGCAAGCGGTGCACCGGACGCTGCAACGGTGTTCGGCTTCGTCGCGGGTGTTCGGCCCCATCGCGCAAGCGGCGAGCCGGACGCTGCGACGGCGCGAGCGGCGAGCCGGACGCTGCGACGGTGTTCGGCTTCGTCGCGCAAGCGGCGTCGCTCCATTTTTGGGTTCGCTGCCCTGAACAGCAGGGGCGGCGTCGTTGACCGCTCTCACACTAGTGCTGGCATTGTGCACTGGAAAGCCTGCAACCGCGCTCTGACGCAAACGTGGGTTACGGTATACATCCTATGTTCCTTAACTTATAATCTTGTTAATGTTATCGCCATCCCGCATACAGTGCGCAGAGGGGGCTGTGTGCAACGGTGCCGACTGATTCCTCCCCCTCCAATCCCATTGTACTCTTGTTTCGCTGCTTTCAGTGTTGAGTTCCGAAAAACGCACCAAACGCAACGGCAAGGAGATCGCGCTCGCCATACTGCTCAAGTCCAGGTGGTCAAAAATTCGAAACGCACGCAGTCGTCAATGTGTTGATGGAATGTATTTCGCAGTCGAAAAAATTCATCCAGTGACTAAAAATCCACGTAGACACAACTTCAGGGTTTGTATTGGAGACACATCTTCTGCTCCGTTTCGGGTGATTTTAACAATTCAACCACTAATGTTAGAGATCATATTTATTAGGAAAAAAGGCTTAAGTGTAAATTTCAATATAGAGTAAGAAAAATGGAAGTGAAATGTTCTAGTCTTCATGCAGGACACTGATTGTGTGTATGCGTTCAACGTCTTCGATATTGCGACGCGCTTCGAGCTGAAGAGTAACAGCGGCAAGGAAACCGGGTATGGAGTTTCGCTCTCCTATATACCTAAAATCAATTTGGGTTGGAGGGGGATTAAAACTCAATATTAGGAAGGGAAGTATAAAATTAATGTAGGTTTGTTACTTCTGCATTTCCTCTTCCCAGAGACGGCCCTGCGAAAGAACATCTTGACCAACATCAAGCAGGTCGACGATTCCCGTTTCGGTATTAAACTGAAAAAAAATAATGTGAAGTAGAATACAGAAAGAGAAATACACAAGGGTAAAGCAAGGCTACTGACCTTGAATACAAATTGCTTCTCTGTCTCATCATAAACACTATTAACATAACAAATTCCTTCATCTGCGTCCTTTAATTTGATCTGGTAGCCTGTCAATGTTGTTGTTATTTCTCTGAAAAAAGTCCTTTATGTTGACTGAATATACACAAAACTGGCTACAACTACACTTTTCTGGCATTTCCTTCACGTGATATATTTTTTGAGTTTCCTTTTCTGAAAGCGTTTTCCCACTTCTTGTTCAGAGGTTCATTTAATGCGATTCACTCATCGTACAAACTATGGTGCTAAATAAATCAGCAACACACTGCCTCCGCCTTACGATGTGCAGAACGGAACAGAGAGCTTTTGCAAAGATACAAATTTCGACGCCGGTGTACCCAAGAATGGGGATCCTTATACGAAAAGCTGAACACAGCCAGCATCCCCTCTCCTAATTCCCCCTCGGACTGAGCCTCGAGAGGGCTAGAGGAGGGGGTGTGTAAAGGAAATTCATTTTCCTAGAAGTTCACCTTCTCCTCCTAGGCTCATTCCACATAGCCATGACCCCCTGAATATACTCTAACCTACAGCGAAAAACGGAGCAAGAAAGATTCATACAAGACACTTTCGTTGATCAATATATAAGTGATCGTTTTGAAAATATTGGCAGATGATAGGGGCAAAATGCCAAGTAAATGGCCTTTCAATTATGGTTATTATGGTTATCTTTTTTTGCAGTTGAGCCCTTCTGCCCAATGAATGAAAGGATGAGGATAGTCAAACTCTCGCTCCACATGTCCCACCTCTCTAATACATATTATACATCTGACCATGAGTCTATTTTGACTAATAAGCTTTGGAATGAAAGAGAAATATCACCGCTTCAACTCGAGCCTCATCTCACAGTTGGAACTATGTTTCGAGCCTGTGAAAATAAAAGGCACGGGTCGGGATCGAATTGTTAAACAATTTTGTTCAAAAACAGACAAGAAGTGCGGAGGAGCGTTAGGGGGAGGGAGGGGGAGAGAGAAAAAGTGAAAAGCGCCGCAGAATACGCTAAAATTTCCCTTAAGAGCCCGGCCGTGGGATGGCGGAGAGACACAGCGCTGTGAGAAGAGGGAAGAAGCAAGAGGTTACGTTGTAAGTGAGAGAGGCGCAAACACCACGCATACCACATATGCAAAGAAGTGCGGCAGCACACAAGGCAACGCCTTACAAAAGGAGTAGGTCGCCATGGCCATTCAATGAGAGATGTAAACGCTTAAATGTGTCTTTGGCCGCTGATAGTGGACTCATCTACCAAATCTCCCATACAATTCTAAGAAAGGAGTTATGAAGCAAAAGAGCAGCCGTAGTGGTCGGGTTTAGTAGCCAAGACCTCATGGCATCAACCTCTTATCGTGTTTATTACTTTGTTTTCTCTGCAGTGCAGCTAAATATGCTATTATAAGCCGTTTCAGCCGTATTTCCGGGAAGAGCGAAACAGTAAACACGACGAGGGATCGACTCTACGACCTCTTGGCTGTGAAGCCCGACTACTACCGTTGTGCATTTTTGCTTCATATTTACTCTTCAGTGAATCGCCTTGTCTAGAACTAAGCCTTGCCAATCGCACAGTTATGAAAAATGAGAATGCGTGGAGTGCATAACGCATAATTAATGAAATATAACAGCTGAGGATGCAAATTACTAGAAATGAGACGCTTTACAATGTCATAAGGCCCAGATATTTTATCTCTTAGACATAGATTCATCACCCAGGTTTAGTCATCCGCTTGAAAAGGAAGGCTGAAGTGTAAAATACGTAATAAAATACGTCGTTCAAGAGGAAAATCAACGAAAAATAGGAAGCTTTGAGAACCGGAATTCCTTTTCTGAGAAGTGGCATTCTGTGATGAAGAGAAAGTGTGCACCGAGGCGAGAGAACGAACGAAAGAACATAGCGTGGTACCGAAATACAGACATTCACAATGTCGATGGAATCTCCGTGAGCAACAAACAACTGCCCTCAACAGAAATGACAGAGCTCTAATGCCCTCGGTTACTTGCCCTAACCTCCGAAAAGAATGATGCATTTAGATTCCTCGTGGATTAGCTGTCACTTTTGATTTTCAAAGTAAGAAAGAAGTGGAAGAAAAACCTGTATTTCTTGGCAAGATCTGTTTGCAGTCGGATGGTCTGCTCCTTTTCGCGTTCACTCTTCCTCAGTTGAGCTTCAAGGGCACTAATTTGCTCCTCCCTTGCGCGTTTTACTTCGCTTGGCTCATCAGCAAAAAGGGATGTTTCCTGAAAAAATCCAATCGACCTCCCTGAACATCGAACATAGTTCCAGAAAGTGCGAGCGTGGTGTACAGGCGGTAGCGAAAACGGATACAAGATGTCCAACGCCCTCATATATTCTCACCTTTCGACACAACGATATGAAAAGCTAGTGAAAGGCCGATGTTAGACTTGCGATGGAGCGACACTTTGGCGTCCGTGGTCGCGTCGCGGCCAGTGAATCACTCAATTGGCTGGTACCGCAACGCGACCGCGGACGCTAGCGCGCTCGATTCGCAAAGTCTGACATCGGCCTAAGCTGTAGTTCCAGAACATGACGCCATTTCATGTGGTAATGATGAGGCTAAAAAATCAGGATCCATTATTTTTTGGCAGCTTTCTTTGAGCAGTTAAACGAGGATTCCTCGATGAGGTCGGAGGTCTATTAAATTGAGAGACAGGTGGAGCACCCATTCGCAGCCAATGATATGCAATGGAGGCATAGCAAGGGCTCCCCCGCGTTGCTTCCGCCGCTGGTCGTCCACACCCTCCAGCTGCCTAGCAGAGAGAGCTTCAGCGTTGATGACTTCAGCATGATACGTCTAACGCGCAAATCAAAGAACGAAATGGATCCCAATTCTCGTGTTCTAGGTTGTTTTTTTTCTTCTTTCCTGCATAACTGACCACTTCAACCTTGATTTCTAGTGAACTCTTTTTTTATCGTAAACTCCGCCTTCAATTAGACTGATACTGAGTATATGGGTCTAAGTGTGACTATTTCAACAGGAACTTTTTTAACCAAATTTTGACGTCTCCAAAGATCATGGATTATGGACTGCCTTGAGACAAGAGCAAGAAAGAGCCTCAGTCCCTCGCGGCAACATCAACACTCAGCTCAACTTGAAGATACTTTTAACGAGCCGTACGACAGCCACATCTGCCGCATTAAGATCACCACTGCCTCTGGTCGAGATATTGGATGGACTATCAACACCACCAACTTTGAGAGACTTGTGTGAATCCAGCCAGTGGTGTGCTCGACCCCAAGGGCCACCCTTGGCTGTCTCCTGTGATGTGTTTGACTACGGAAGTGAGGACACCGCGGGTTACGAAGTTGTCGTTAACGGAAATCTCTTCTTTCGGATGATGAGACAAGGTCACCTACTCCCGTCTTGATCCTGCTGTTCGGCGATAATCCTAATTTTAATACGTTTTTTCTATATTTTGACGTTTTGTGTGCCGTTTTGCTTTTTCTTGCGGTTGTTTAGCTCAAAACTTTTCCTTTTTGTATGGATTACTGCTTTTGCTTACTAATGAACCACTTGGGGCTTATTGCCACTTTCAAACACACTGTATGAACCTAACCATTCTAGGACAGTTGAAAAGCAATGATTCACACGAAAAAGAAAAAAGGTTCTCGCCAAAAAACACGAGCAAAAGCCAGTCGACGCCTTCCAATCGATAAATTCGATTTCATTACATTCTATTTTTGTTTTCCTGGTGCTCCTTGTGCCGTGTTGCTTTGCTCGTGTTTTTTGGCGAGAACCTTTTTTCTTTTTCGTGTGAATCATTGCTTTTCAACTGTCCTAGAATGGTTAGGTTCATACACTGTGTTTGAAAGTGGCAATAAGCACCAAGTGGGTTCATTAGTAAGCAAAAGCAGTAATCCATACAAAAAGGAAAAGTTTTGGCTAAGCAACCGCAAGAAAAAGCAAAACGGCACAGAAAACGTCAAAATACAGAAAAAATGTATTCGTCGTGCGCCGGAGCGCGTGTTGACTTTTTCGCCCTGTCCGCGCGGTCTGCGCGGGCCGCATGGACCGCAAACTATGAAAACAGCCGTATAGAAATGACGCCGAAATCAGGACAACAGCTCAGAATAAACAGATCTTGCGGGAAGCAAAAATGACGACATACCGCCTTTCGCTTCAGACGCTCTCTTTCAGCTTCACTATGTGCGTCTACAGCACATTGGAATGGATTGTTGCGCAAGTGAATAATCTGAGTTTCATCTCCAGCATCAGTGGGCTCAGCTCGATTTGCGCTTCGCAGCTGGGCTTCCAGCTGCGCAACCTTCGACTGAGTCTAAAAAATTAACATGATAATGTAGCTTGCTGATCGGAGTTACCGAGGAGATTGAATGATCATCAAAAAACTCCAGCGGCAAAAGTGTCACAAAACTGTTGCCGTACCTCGGCAAGTTTCTCCTGGGACACTTTCATTTCGTCGCGCAAAGACAGTAGATCCTTCTGCTGACTCGACAACTCAGTTTCTTTTTCCTCCATTGTTCTAGAAACAGATAATAATGATCACTAGTTCATTCAATTCAGCGTCGTTCAAATCACCTCGTCAGGAGTGAGCACTTTTCCTTTTCCCCACGTAAAGAGCTCTTGAGATCATCAGTTAGAGCAGTCCTTGAAAAACCAGTAATTGTAAGACAAAGTAAAGAGGTAAGGAAAACTAAAGCTCACAGTTGATCAACTTTTTTGAGCAGAGCATTTCGTTCACTATCAAGTAACTCTATCTCCTTTTTGGCGCTTTCAACGTCAGAGCGGCTGCAGCTCAACTGATCTTGTAATGACTCCACTCTGAATAGGAAATATCAGCTCATTCCCGAAGGAAAATGTAAATGAAAGCAGAAACAGAACAAAAAATAAGAGAACAAAGTCGCCAACTTTGCGTTAAGGTCTTGAATCCTTTTAATTACTTCAGCAGATCGTCCTTGAGATGTAGTCGCATCAATGTCGAATAACTTTTTTGCACATGCAGATCGCAAAGAATGTAGTTCCGCCTAAACGGATAACTAGATAAGATCCTAAAAAGGTCGAAATTAAACGTACCAATATCTCTTCCATATTCTTTCCTAACAGACAGTATTTTTGTTCAGCGTTGTTTTTTTGCTCCTCCATTAGCATTGATTTCTGAGCACGGTCACTAAAATCAAAGGCAATAAAATACATAAAAGAGACAACACAAGAGATCAGCAAAACCCACAATAGTACGCTCACGCGATCCTGCAGCCGACTGTTTTCAAGCTCCAAGCGTTGAATTCGTTCATCCTTTTCGTAGTCAATGGAGGTGTTGGCAAGTGTACTATTTAAAATTGACTCGCTTAGATTGGATACCATCGATTGGTCAGCTGAAACGTCAAAGATAGCGCAGGCGTAAGAGTGTAAGAAAATTATACCTTCAACTGTGGGAACGATAGGGGAGATCGAGTCACGGATAACCGCTTCCTCAGGCTCTAAAAAATAGCAGTAATTATTCATAGCAACTCTGATGCATTGCAAATTCATAGCGCCGAGATTTCGTCAGTGAACCACTGCTATAAAAAAACCTGGAAGTGGTCTCTTAATTCTCGAATCATAGTTGATGTCAAAGAACATTACAAAGTGAAATTTTGTCATGGATAGCATACAGCTTCACTATTATGAAAGAGAATATTTCGCAAAAACTCATTAGTGTCATAAACAGTCAATTTCACTTTGCATGACCGACAGGTCAAAATGTATTCTATAGGAAAGAAATGGCTGTTGAAACAACCAAAGCTATCCTCGTGGCCTTCCCATGAGGAGAACGCACCAGTAGTCAGAGACACTTTAACCATTCCAAGAACTGCTATTTCACTGTTTTCATAACTCCAACCATTTCAGAAAGATACTGTGTACATAGAAAGACTGTTCCTTCTACACTTTCATCTGGGCAAATTAACTATCAGCAATGGAGCTGAATTTTTGGTTGGAAATAACACACCTTCAAAGATCATCGCGGTGTCATTTGTGCTCAAATCGTCGTTTTCATCATCGCCTAAAGTAGAGCTCTTCTTTGTGAGGCTTTTCAAATAGTTTTTCACATAATCTACAAAAATATAACACTTGAATGTATGGCCGTCGAAAAGAAGGAATGTAAAGGGGTCTGAAAGAATGGAAATGGTGGGTCACAAGCATGGAATATCATATAATACCGTTAAAAAAAGGAAAGGGATAATTGAGACCTCTCGTTGTGCGGCTAGTTTAAAATTTCGTCTTCACACCGGCTCTTTGAAGAAAACTATAAATTAATGAACCTCGCTCATCCTGGCTATCCTTGTCCAGTTCTTCCAGCGTAGAGGAGGCATCCCTGAGAAGATCGCAAAGGTTTTCTGCAAGCCCCAAATCATCCAAGAGAAAGACATAAGCGTATTCATTTCCAGAAGAGATTATTTACCTTGAATATCTTCAGTACTGTACTCTGCTGAAGTCCAAGCGGATGTAAGCTGAAATAAGCAGTAGTTCACAGATTTCGAAAAGCGGAATAGTAGTTGAGATTATCAAAATTGCTTATCGGTTGATTTTCCCTATTGATTCTCCCCTAGAACGCAGTCCAAGTTATGCCCATCAGTAGCCTTGCTCAAAACTGTAGACAACAAGGTCCATAGTTTTAGGTTGCGACGGGTGTACTTTTACCGACAACTCGTTACATGGTCAATGATTCGATAAATGGTCGCCTATTGGAAATGCAAGTAAAGGTGCCTAGAGATGCAGAAAAGTAAAGAGAAAGTAAAACGTCCTGGAACCCCCAGGGACCCTCGAATTCCTCGTTAGTTTTCGCGCTGTGCAAAATTTAACGATGTGACACCACAATTAAACATTTGCTTTTTGCTGGAAGGGCTACTGTTCGATGGCTATGACTTGCAACTGAGGTAACCATGTTCCCGCAGCCAGAGTTGTTAAATAAAATGCGTTCAAGTTCGTGTTATACTTCAGTATTCGATAGTGACAACCAAACATTTTGTTCAGGCGCAGGAATCTAACATACCGCCATTTTCACGTTTTCCGTTAGCCGCCCTCGACGACGAAGTTCGTCTTCCGCTACCAAAAGTCTCGCTTTCGCACATCGAAAGTAGCGATGAAATCGAGTGCATGCTTCCTGATATTCATCACGAGAATGCAACGCCTGTCAAAAAATGAACGATAAGAAAGAAGATGTTGAACTTTTTACAAATAGCTGACCTTATTGAGCTCGGTTCTCAGATTCTCAGTTTCTACACTGTGTGCTTGCCTAATCAGGTCCTTTCTCAGATTCGAAATTTCCGTTTGCAGCTGATCAGCGTGCTGCTTACCACTCTAAAAATAACAGGGAGTATACAAGAAGCCCACTATCATGGTTCCCAATAATAACACCTTCTCTGATGTCTTCAAACGTTGTATCTCTTTCTCAGCATTTGACAGCTGCCTCTTTAGCAAATCAACTTCTTCTCTGAGTTCTACGACTTTGACGTTGGAATTGGTAACTGAAACAAAAACAATTAGAAAGTGTGGCTCAAAAAACGCATGGAATGAGACTTTAACTCTCACCTAAACTCGTATTCAGACTGTCATCAAAATTCAGTCGTTTAGATATTTGCGATAGAGAGGGCGTTGCAATAGGGGTCGGTTTACGAAGGTTGGACTCACTCCTCAGCGGGAACGCCTTCCGAAACTCAGCTGTCATCTACAATAGCGAGAAAACTCTACGAAGTCAGAAAGTATATACTTGAACTGGACCGCAAAGACGCCAACCTTCGCATTGAACTGCATAGTCGCTTCAGATGGATGTTCGTCGTCGTCATCATCAGATGCCGATCCGTGATACATGAGCTCTACTTCAAAGAAAAACGTCAAAGACCATCAGCATAAAGATGGTCTGCATAAAGAGTCACTCACCCCCCCCCCCTCCCTAACTTCTCCAAGTGCAATATTAATCGTTACAAAACGAATGCAACATCAAGAATCATAAAATAAAACTCTTTATGTACAATGAGCGGCAATATTTATAAGCTAAGGCTGAACAAATATCAAGGAACTAGTAGTCCTAAACCTTAATAGGTGTACAGCATCGAGGCCCGCATAGGGCTTAAATCTCAGTGCTACACATTATTTCCACAGAAGAAGAATTGTGTCAACCACTCAGTTTCTCTCGCTGACGTCGAGCTTCTTCGAAAGCCATCTGTTGCCTGAGGAAAGATTCATACTCCTCCTTGCGTTTCTGGGCGAGAAGCTGTTCCTTGAACTGTGCCATCGCTGCGTCACCCTCTCTACTGTCAGGAACTTTGTAACCTTTCATCTGAATTCAAAATTAAAAAAAACATTAATGTACTAAATATGTCATGTGCATAATTGAGACTAAAGCAAAACGTACAAACACTTTGAATAACGAAGGCTGGTTGAAAAACCAAAATGCAGCAACGGGAAACGTGACCATCAAGGCGAATCGCCCTGTTTCAAGCTTCCATCCACCCATTTGTCCTTAATTAGACCACCTCAAAAATATTATTGGCTATAAATTTCAAACAGAACGTCAAGTATTCCCATCGTATATTAACGATTGGCATCATGACAAGAAAATCATAGAAATATGTACAAACTTTATTGGACAAGCAACGCCATCGTGAACAGGTGCAAGGATAACAAATACAACGCTATTTCAGCGACAACGCTAAATCTTATATTCGATAGAACTCTCGAAAGGCAAAATTTACCCATTGACAATGAAGCTATCTTTAGCATTCTAGCCAAGACCAAGAAGACATTAAACTTGCTCAATTGTACACAGATTGCAAAGCTATTGTAGGACGATTAATCAGACACCGAGAGAGTTATAGTTAGAAAAGGAATGAAACAAGCTGTGATGATCGATCACCTATGAGAAAGGCCAATCCCGCTTAAAGGAGCAGATATAAAAAGGACTAATCATTCGGATTCTTCATTATCTTCATGTTCAAAATGAACCTCAGAATCAGTGTCGCTGTCAGCTTCATACCCTATGAAATTCGCCCACTCCACAAAATCTTCGTCATCACTATCAGATGCAGCAATTCCCTCGAAGAGGCGGTTCACGCAATTACCCTGAAGTGAAAGACACGGTTCAAATTGAGCGGAAACATTTCTCTTTGTGTTAGTTCCTTGAACTGCGGTGGCGGTTCGATTAACTTTCACCGTAGAAATCAATATCAAAGAGCGATTTTGGTAAAGGAGAATTGTATTAGAGAACAGAACACAGTCGGAGTTGTTGACGCTGATCACCTCCTGAGCGGCGCACTTTTAGGGTGACAATCTAAACCTAACCAAGTCACTGTCATCACGGACAGTTTCGAGTTTTGTTGAATGTTCGGAAGGGTAGTCGGGTAAGTCTGGAGCTGTTTGTAACGGTATCTCTCTAGAGTCTTAACCAAATTTTGAGGAATATATGTACTCTCCTGAATCCTACCCATGGACTGTGAGGGAGGAAGGACAGCTTCCAACTTTCCACAGAATCCTACAAAAAAAGCCCAACTGTAAAAGCTTCGTGTTTTTGCACAGTGGGAATGTGTTCGAGAACGCATGAGGTTTCAAACATCAGCAAAACTATCCATAACCCTTCTGGAATTTATTTTTCAGCAGGTTGATTCACTTCAAGGCAGCGCTCATGACAATTTCTTCGATGGAGTGTGAAAGTAAGAAAGGAATGTGTTGCGACAGTGGAGAACAAAATATTAAAGAAACCTGGGATTGAAGCCCTCTTCCGCCTGTAAGTCACGAATTTACGACCTGACTGCTGAGATAATGACTACGGCTTATGATAAAAAGGAGTTTTTCTTTTCTGACTTCTCGTCCGCCTTTATTTGGAGCATGAAATCAATTTTGCGTGTTAAAATTTTCAGAAAGAATTAGACAGAAGTAAGAATAAGCTTTTTCCAAAATAACGAAGGCTGATTTAAATCTTTAAGCTAATGAACAGATCCCCTCTTCAGTCTCTATCAAAAGATTTCACGATGCAGGGATGGTTGAAAAAGTTAACGTTGGGCAAGATGTTGCTAAGGTTACGAGCTTGAAGGGATACACTTTGTTATCAAAAGTACAAAAATATCCATTTTATAAGCCTAATCGCGTTTCTGATCAGATTTTCTTATGCAAATTGAGAAAAAAATATAGTGGTAGTGCGAAAACTCACCCTTCCTTCTTCGTTGAAATGCGCATACGGGTTGTTTTTGTCAAGTATACGCTCGCACAACCAACAAAACATAGCATCACATTTCGTGCACTGCATTTTATTGCACCCATCGTTTTTCTGAAGACAAATAAAGTCAGGAACAGAAGAATTAGTTCTCTGTACGATTACTACCTCAATTCGCACGCGACATCGTGGACAAGGCTTACTGTTGCCCTCCATCCATCCATCATTGAGTAAGGTATTTATGATATTCTAAAGAATCTTATGAGAGTATTTGACGTAAAGATATCAATGTGAAGCGAAATCTATTAGCATGTGGTAAGCATTTCCGCACCTCCAAGTTTTTCAGCCCACCAAACCGCTTCGGCCATTTGGACACGTCCGTTCTCATCAGCTGCATTCCACTCCTCGATGATACGCTTCTTGTCCACTGTAAAAAAATGGAATCAGAGAAATATGGGAGAAGAGAGTAAGCACATACCGCTTTTGAATTTGCATTCATCAACGCCGTGATATGCGCGAAGGCATAAAATACAGAAAGAATATCCACACATCCCACAACTACCCAGAGTTAACGGTTCTAAAAATCAAAGTCAGTAACATTACTTCAAAGATCCATCAAAAGGAATCAAATTATATTGAATGGCTATTGTACCACGAGTTCCGTTTCTAAAGAATACCTTTCACTGACAAGAACGGGTTTCTGACATGTTTTACGAGGGCACGTAACTACGTCAGACATCTGACCAAGCGTTCGCTCAAGCAAAATGCGATCATACCGCTCAAAAGCTTCCTTAACCAAAACTGCGATTGACAATAAGCGTGAAAGAAAGAAATATAAGCTCTAAATAAGGTCATGTGACCAAGTCCTGACCTCGCCTATAATACTGCGTATGGTTTGCTCAGACGCCGTGGATTTACAATCGGAAGCAGGGCATCCCAGTTCCCGTACCTAAATTAATGAGTTGCACTTTTGCTCATTCCGACACAATAATAAAAATGACAGAACTTCCAAATTGTTCAGCCGCTCTGCGAAGAAACCCGATACGCAGTCTTTGCAGAACACATGCATACACGGATTGAACCGCACACATTGCAGACCCATCTTGTTTTCAAAGCAAATCTGAAAACAAATCTAACTGCATTTCATGTAGTTGAAAATCTTCGTTACGCTGCACTTACTTCACAGTCATAACACCCGGATTGAAATAATAAATCCTCCGACTTTGAGCTCGAATCTGCAACCCGTCGCACTAATTCGTGACCCCTCAGGTTCTGAAATACAAGTTGATACAATTCCAACAGCATAAACAGTTGTAAATGATAGTGTATCATTGATACCAGGTAAATAAATATAACGATTCGCAACTGCGCGTGGTCTAATCCACCTTTTTCCTAATCTCTTCACTTTCCTCTTTCCTTATGGGATAAGGAGATAGAGGACAATGACGTCCTCTATTGTAATCAAATATCACCAGGCTCTCAAAATGAGTGAAATAACATCATGTGATGCAAAGCCTCGAATTGAACCAACAGGTGGCTCTGGCACGTTACATCTAGCGACGGTTCACTGTAGCAAAGAAGCTCTCATGGGTGAAGGTCGAATGCTCCATTAAGTTAAGAACCACCTTAAGATAGTGGTTACTCCTTGCGAATTTCGAACCGCCAAATTAAAAAATTGATATTAGAAGCCATTTGGACACTCTTAAAGGCAAGATTCGGGATAAAATAGGTGTGGAAAAGCGTTCAGTTATGAAGCTATAGGTGGGAGGTGGTCTGTAAAAGAGAAGGAAAGCAAACGAAACCACCGATTACGCCCCGTTTCAGCCACATTCCACCTTGGGATAGAGAAGAGGCGAATTGGACGAGTTTCACGAACCTAACTCTAGTTGCTCCAGTGCCAATGACATTGGATCGCGATGGGACCGCTGCCTCAAATGCGCCCGCGCTTTTCAAGCAGCGCCACGTGGCAACCGACAGCGGAGGGTGGGGCTTGCGGACGAAGGTGTGAGTTGCGGGTCGGACGAGCTCCTTGCGCCTTTGTCGCGCACTTTCAAGCGGCAAAAGGGGCGCGACATCAACACTTGTCTACAGTCCCAGCAGGGTGGGCGTGGTCGGAAACGGCTGCAATCCCCTCGGCCGATTCCCACTTCGGAGCTGTTCAGCCCCTAGTCAAGAACGTAAGAAGTGTGACTGAACAAAAACTCACCTTGGAAAGCCGCTAGGGAGGGAGCTGAAGTGGGCGTGGTCGGAATCGGCCGAGGGGATTGCAGTCGTTTCCGACCACGCCCACCCTGCTGGGACTGTTGCTTTAGCAGGAGAGGGCACCTCCTTATACAGCAAAAATCTGCAGAGGTATTTTTCGAGTTAATTTTCTTCGAAGAAGTGTTACCTAGAAAATCCCCACCGAATTCAGCTGGATTTTCTGCATGGTACCCCTTTAGGCAAGAGCAAACCAAAATCGCAAAGAAGTCTGACTCTCTGGAGGAGGCAAAACAAAAAACTAGGAATTATTTGAACGCATCTCACCCAGATGCCACCGTCCGCGCTTCCCTTTTCATCTAAAGGCTTGCATTGAGTCAATAGTTAACATATTTCAAACCACACCTAGCTTTACTTTTTTGTACTAGTGGATAACCTTTTTGTGGCGTTGATTTGTTCCATTAAGCTAATGTTCGTTCTTATAACTTAATTTCCTGGTTACCATAATTTTGCCCCACCCTGTAGTACAACTTCCATTGCACTAATGAATAGATTCTAAATGATTTTTGGTTACCTAGAGCGTGGACGAAAATCACAGAATCACGTTTCCAAACGAAAAGTAAATTAAACATATGCAGGTACTTGTTGGTGGGTCACAGTGGTGCTTTTCGAGAGAAGCTCGTCTATCTCTAAACTACACTAGATGTTATCTAAGCATTTTCTTTCTCGACTTTCATATTGGTTCCCGCTAATCAGAGACTGCCTCCTGCTCATGGTGCCTTTCATGTAATACTAGCGATTGTGTTATCATTAGCTAACCGCTTTTGCTAGCATGTTTCTGGGGTTTTGTTTTTGGCCTATCCCAATATTATCCAACGCCTATTTCTGAGTTGATCTTTGTTTTTGTTCCAGTTTTTCCTTTTCACTCTTCTGCCTCCCTCTTTTCCCGGCTTTGTTTCGTTAATTTACTACACCAATTTTGGGCCGGCATGTCGTCTAAACGTACGAATATGAATTA